TTACCCTTAGAGGAATGCTTGACTAGTCTCCTCCTAGAATCCCTTAATCTCCTTCTTCTTCTTCTATGGTGTGCTAGTGGCTCAAGATTTGGAGAGTGGGAGAAAATATTTGAGAGGAAATGGAGAGTGTGTGGCCGGATTTTTGAGTGGGGAAAAAGCTAGGAGAAAAAAAATGAAGCTTATCCTATGTTGGTTCCTTTTATAGGCACTTGGAAATTATTTTTTTTAACACCAATTCCACTCCATCATTCAACCAAATTTTTGGTTCAAATCCCCCTTTCTTGGCCGGTTTGGAAGGAGAAAAGAAGAAGCAACTTTGCCATTAATTCCCCTTCAACCACTAACATCACATCACCTTAACATAAAGTCCTCTAGCACACTCCACTAGCCAAAGGTTTGGCTCTATTTTTTCATGCAAGGCCGGCCAAGTGAAGGAAGAGAGAGAAAAAAATCTCACCTACCCCATTGTACTCTTGTCCACTTTCTTAAGTTTTCCTTTGAAACTGATAAAAATTATACTGACTATAAGAGAGTAACTCAGCTGACAGGAATTCGTTTCCATTTCTGACGGTTCCTTTTTCTACTGCTTATTTACAGTTAAATGTTAAATCCTTGACTGCTTTGGATATCACATTAAATTCTTATTCGCGTAATATCTTGAACTGTTTACAGTCTTGAAATTAATTCTAGACTGAACAAATTCTAAATTTAACTTTCCTGCGTTAATTTTTGGAAATGACGTTGTTTCTGACGGTGTCAACTCCCGAGTTCACATTGTACCCTTCTACTATGGGTATTTATCTTCTGACTTTAACCTAGTTGTTTGGCAATTAAGGATTTTCTCTTCTTTTAAAATGTCAGTGCGTTTTTTTTATACGCTGCTAACATCACGCTGTGTTTGGAGATTCTTGAAATTAAGATTCTCAAACTATACTTGTACTGAAAATTATTCCGCCTTAAAGTACGACGAGAATTTATCGATCGAATTTACTTGATCGAAAACATGAACTTAACATGAAATCTGCTACAGAATTTAGGAATACATATATTAATTCCATAAATCCTTCAGTCACATAATATTTGTCTAAGAAAATCCTTGGCTTAAATACATAAATTGTATTATTTAAGGTCTGGGATTTTCTCAGTTATTACAATGTATACTTTAACCAGCCCTAAGACATGTTCCTAAAACATTCAAATTACACATTCTATAAAAATTGTCATGGCAAAGCGAACTAGAAACATCAATATGACCATGAAAATTCACATATCTTGCAACTCGAATCCAAAAACAATATGCTAACTCATATTTCTATGAAATCACAATTATAGCATAAAAAGGAAACAACAATATAAAAAAATAACATAATTCCTAATATGCCTCTCTAGAATTTATCAAATTATGAAGACACCAAAACACCCAAAACAATAACCATGTCATACATGATTATCCCAAAATAAAATATACGGGCATGAACATTAAAACGTCACCTAAATCACATATATCATCCCTCAATCTTCAACCAAAGAAAATTATTCATTATCTCCTAAAACCAACACCCAACACCAAAAGAAATCACCTAACAACCATGAATACTAAATTAGAGATGGAACATACCTTGAAATCTTCTTGATTGTGGCTTAGAAGAACCAAAGGTTTACAAAGAGGGGTTAAAATATTGGAGGTTTGATGGCTGGTCCTGGAGGCTCTCTATTGTGGTGTTCTTGGACGTGAAAGAAAGAAGAAGAAAGAGGGAAAGAGAGAGTAAGAGCTTGAAAATGTTTATTGGCTCATAAATCATATAAAATTAAAAGGGATTAATTTGATATTAATTGGGGATTAATTTTGTGATTAAATCACCCCTTAACAGTTGGGGGAATGGCTGTCATTAGGGTGTAAAATCGTGTGGAAGGCAAATAAAAGAGTTAGGTCAACTTTTAGAATTTCCGTTCTTATTCGCGTGTAGTAACCTGGTCGGAGACTGTTGGATATCCGGATGGTATACTGGCGACATCTTCTTACTCTGATGTCCAATTTGCACAATTGAGAAGGCGTTGGAAAGCATATGAAAAGCTCTACAACTTTGTATAAACTAATGGAATAATTTCAGAATTTTAAAGGTCCAAAATAGAGCTGAAAATTAACGTCATGAAAATAGTTGTTTTGTCTAACAAGAAAAATCAAGGAAAAATTTAGAATTTTCCTAAGACACGTAATTCCATGCATTATAACATGAAGTACATCATATCATGAACATATATATAATTTCTATAAAATGGCATTAACTTGTTCTTAGCACCTCGAGTCCTCGTCGCATTCACCTGTAAAATATAACTCAACGTGATGTTAGAATTAATTAATTATAACATTATTCAAGTTAATTCCTAACGTTTATTTTTAGGAATTTTATTAGTTAGAAAAATGGGTGTTACAAAACTTGACTTTTTTTGTATTTAGCCTCTGAAATGACATTGTTGTTGACACTGTCGATTCCCGAGCTCGGGTAACATTTTTCTACCAAAAATGTTACTTGTGTAATTCTGATTTAACTAATTGGTAATAAGGACTTCTTAAGTATTAGAGTGTTTCTTATAATTTAAATTCTCAAGTCGTTTAAGGATTGAAATTTCTTCCGCCTTCAATTGTGGTGAGAATTATCAACCAATTTATTTTGCTCTTACGGCATGGAATCTAATTTTACTATTTAATATAGAATTTTAGAATTTATTTTATAATTTCACAAATTCTCAAATCATAAAACTTGACATGGGATTTTCCGGGAAAATCCTCAACTTTACATTCTAATTTAATATTTAACATTCTCATAATGCTATTCAGTATCTTATACAACCAAATTCACTCTAATTGTAGAATCGTGAATTTCATGAATCTTTGCATAAAATAAGTGTTCAGATCTCCTAAGGAGACCATTAACTTGGCTATCTGAATTCTACTGATAAAATTGATTAAATACTTAATTATGGGACCAAAATTCTGCTCGAACGGTTAAAGATGCATTGACTTGTCTAAGGTCAACCATTCACTTAGGGTGCTTTTGGAATTGGTTCCAAAATGATTTTGTTTTCTGTATGAAAATAGAAATGAAAACGTTTTCATTTTCATTTTGGAATTATTTCTGAAATGCGTTTGGTAGTTTTATTCAGAGATTGATTTCAGTTTTAAAAAAACTGAAACTGCGTTTGGTGGTTTAATTTTTGAAAACATGTAATAATATTTAAATTAATAATATATTGAATAAATAATAATATTAAATATATTAAATAATAATATATTAAAATAAATATTATTATTTAATATATTAAATAATAATATATTAAATAAATATATTAAAAATGAATGTGAATTTTTACATGGGGCAGTCGAAGAAGAGCGGCGGCGGCAGAGGAGGGGGGGGGGGCGGG